TTAACCAGCCACCAAAATAATGATCCCTGGGATATGCTGACACAAAAAGGGGCCACTGAGCTGCCCTGAGGATATGCTTGGCCTCCTCAGCCTGTCTGGCAGGCATGGGTTGGCTGGGAGAGAGAAGCCCTGCTGTTTTCAGAGCAATTACATGCTCCTGGCATTTAAGAGTGGGGTTTGCATTTTTCCTTTTCTCTGCTACTCAGTGGTATTCTCCGTTTTTAGCACTTATATGGCTGAGTAAATGTTTTTCAGCTGTTGAGCTGAGCTCAATTCAGTCTTCCCCATCTCCTCCCTCCCATTTCCACCTCCTGTTTCCTGCTTTTCTTGTGGTAGGAGTGTTTATCCCAACAAAACAAAGTCTTACATTTACATAATGGCCTGTGTTTATGTGCCAAGAGCTCATCGAATATGTCTGGGAGTGGAAGCTGGTTCTGTCCCCACTTCCATACAGGAAACAGGGCTTAGGTGGCTTTGTCAAGATCACTGCTGGAAGTACACTTCAAAACTTGGAGTCTCATCCTCACCATCCTGTGTGACCCCTCATAGATGTTGGAGTCTGAGTATCAGAGCAGAGAAAGACTACCATGCAGTGACCTTTCTGGCCAAACTAGTAACAATACACAGTGGCTGCTCATAGTGACACTGATGAGATAGGGCCCCTGTGCAGGGTATGGATTTTATTGGTTCACAGTAGTTCCTTTATCAGATGTGTCTATTTACTGATTCTGCACCAAATGTTTGGCTCAGATGAGAATCATCCTTTACTTCACCCCCTTCCCTATGACTGAAGAATAAGAAGATACGGAAGCTGGGTTTGATGGAGTTGCTTAGCAGCTCGCAGAAGGCAAGAGGCAGCTCTCTACAGGGAGATTCAGGACCTTGGACATGTCCCAAGGAGTAAAAATGCTGGCTTCCAGTGGAACCCTGAAGTGTCCCCTTCAGCAGTTACACAGCTGGTGTTTGTTGCATGACTAAAAATTTTAAATGCTCATGTCTCTTTCCCTGTTTGGTGTTCTAGAAAGTGTGAAGAAAATTGCAATTACCTTCATGGATTTGGTTGGAGGGTGGTGTGAAGAGCCACAGAAGTGGGAGTCTACTCTCACTCCTTAAATCCTCTCTTTTTCTTTTCTGTGATAATATGACCTTCTAATATCATGCATATATCATTTATTTTGATTTTTATACCTGTTTACCCCACTAGAATGTGTTCACCGTGAAGATAGGATTTTTTGCCTGTTCAAATTTGCTGTTATTTGTATAACACCTAAAACTGTGCCTGGCAACTATTAGGTGTTCAATAAATAACTGCTGATTGAATTTAGTTAATCTTCCTTCTAGAAGTAGCTACTGTAACCAAAACCAGAGTATCTGAATTTGTTCCAGATGTTGAGGGGGCTGCCTGGTGGGATCAAGAAGTTGAGATAAAAGAATTTGAGGTTTTCAAAATGTGAATACCAAGAATTGCTGTAGCAATTCAGACTCTGGACCTTCTGGATTAGTATTTTAATTCTATCACAGGAATTAAGGAACTGATGTGATGGCAGAGTCTAGCTGTTACTTTTGACATCTGCTTGATGCTTCAGATTCATAGTTTGTTACTTCATTAACTGACAGATGGAAGGTCAATTTTTTTTCTTTTTAGGGTCAATCTTACTGATAATTGCTCTGGGGATAACACGTTGAACAGACATATAGGTCATACCATCATAAATTTTGTCATCCATAACTAGAATAGTATTTTGGGGGTAATTATCCTTTTGACCTTTTCCAGCTTTGTAAAGAAGCATTCTTTGACTTTACTACTTTTTAAATGAGATGATTTTTCATCCAGACCCTTAAGTGAGTTTTTCCACGCCTGGGTGAAGAGGTTGAAGTTCTTGAAGTTCAGTATAGAACCCTGGACTTACTGGTTCACTGTGCTGGAACCAAGTGCTCCATTTAATACAGAAAACTCTTTCTTTGGTTGTCCACAATACATGAGGCTAAATGGATACGAATGGCACAGTAGGGGGTATATGAAGGTAGAAGAGAGCAGAACATTTTGGTCTTGAAAAGTGTCCCCTTCTGTTTATGTTCTGCTGCCAGCTACCACTCCTTTTCTGATAATGGTCTACTGATGAACATATCATTAGTACGATGTATAAATCTCTTCCCAGATAACATTCCAGAAAATGGAGGGGGATATTGGAGCATAGTGGGTATTTAGGTGTGACTTAGCAACAGCATATGTGAAAAGAATTAAGAGAATAGATTAAGAGTGTTATAAACTCCAAGTGAGTCAACATTGAGGCTGCTGTTGCGAGGAAGCAATAATTCTGCCCAGCGAACCCTGGAGTGCCGTGGTTGAGGAAGCACAGAGCAGATGAGAAAGTACTCAGGGCAAGGGCATTCTGAACTCTGACATGAGGAGGAGAAAAGAGAGCTGGGAATGTAGGACCATGAGTGCTGTCTTCAAACGAGGTGGGCTCTCCATGTGGGAGAAGCATTAGATGTTTTTGGTTTTGAAGTGAGGATGACTGGATGGAAGGATTTCCTGGGTTCAGAGATGTACCAGAGAGGTGCCCCTAGGCCCCACTGCCTGGTCCTTTAGGAAAAGTACTATTCCTGACTTATATATGATCAACTCAGACACCTACTGAAGCTAATGCTAAGGCATGGCAAGCAGGTATGCTACCCAGGAGGTAGAGAAAGGACAACATCTTCTGTGATCTTCTTCTTTTCTAGTCAGCTGACTATTTTTTTCTGCTTCTTTTGAAACACTTTACAATACCTATTGACTCGACAATTCAACTTTTGGAGATTGTACTTTATAAATAAAAATTAGAGTAGTTCATGATGTATGCACAGACATGTGGGTATATAGTATAATATATATTATACCTATTATAGAATTGTTTGAATTGCAAACATGTGGAAACAACCTGAATGACAATGAATTATTACAGTGGGTTGGATCTATATCTACTATCTAGGAAGAATAGGCAAGATATAGAGTTAAGTGAGATAAATAAGAGAAACATATAGTATGATTTCATTTTGAGAGAATAAACTTAAAAAAAWTTCCCCTATGTAAAACTGGGCTTAGTATATGTTTTTGTGAGGATGGCAAAAGGAGTGTAAGAATGTAGATGAAGTTAACAATGGTTGGAGAGCTTGGGGGTGGATGAGGTCTGGTAGGAATCTGAGAGACAGAAGATGCAGGAATAGAGATGAAGGAAATCAAAGGGGGGGAGAATGGCTGCATGTTCATACATATGTGTGTCTGCGTCTATCTTTATTGGTTGTGTATAAGCATATTAATTTAGAGGACAGGAAAAAAGACAAAGGAAAGAAAGGAAGAAATAAAGAAAGAGGGACAATTCCTTTCCTCTCACATGTTAATCCCATCTTTGGTTTTGCTCCTCTTTTATAAAAATGCTCTCAAACTTTCTGTTAAAGACAATCTGGAGATTTTATAATGAAAAATCATCTTTCAAGTTTTAATAATTTAGAGATGGTGTTTTAAACAAATTAAAAGGAAAACTAAGGAATTTTCAAAGGTAAAATATTTTAAGTTAAGACTGAATATCTTGATATCATGAACAATGAATGACGGAGACTCAGTTGTATGTTTCTAAGTTGTTTTTTGCTATGTAGAATGTGTCTGTTTTCTCCTAGTACTTCAGAAATATGTATACTTTCCTAAATCTAGGGAACACAGGATCAAGCTAAGAGCACTGGCCCAAAGCTCCTAATTTACTATAGGGAAGAGTTATAAGTTGTGTGTGTGAGAGAGAGGGAGAGGGAGAGAGAGATCAGTTTTTCTTTGCTAAGATAGACATAAAAATACCACTATTTTCTTGGGATTTGGATGCTTTCTAATAGATTATTTAATAACTATTTTCCACATTAAATTATATCCGTTATACCTTCATATTTGAAGCAGATGTTTCTTTCTACATAAAGAATAGCTATGCATTGTAGAGGTGGCTGGTTATTTAGCCCTTGCTTATTTTGAAATTGGAATTTGGGGAGAATAGGATGCTGTTTCATATTACATCTGATGTGGACCCAGAGCTGATACCAGGCAGCTATATTGATTGATAAAGAGGCAAGTGAGCAAGTATGTCAGATCTATGGGAACAGTGATAAGGGCATAGTTCCTTGACTTTAAGGTGTTCAATTTATATACTAACTCAAATCTTAATTCATCTTACTTCACATGTATGCATTATTAGGGTAACAATGCAAATGAGCAATGGACTTATAATTGAAGATGTTAACTAATAAGAACAAAAAAATTAACAATGTTAGAAATCCTGAGGAATCTCATTAGCTGGTCATTGAGTTCTGGATTTTTAATGCAATTAGAACATTCCAGAATTATGAACCTCAACTAGAATTGCTGCCTATATAGTACCATCTTGATTCAGACACGCTAGAAAATTATAACAGTGTTTATTTTCATACAGTCAATGGCCTTATATGTAGACAATACTTAAAACACTATGAAGTAGGCTCTGCATGGCTATTTACATGTTTTAAAGTCTCAATTTTAATTCAAAGGCACCATCATTTTGGGAAAACTAGTCATGTATAGTGACATTTTTCCACTTCACAGGCTGAAATATCTTTCATGATCCCCCAAACCTGAATGGTGCTAATGGGCAATTTATCTGTCACAAGTGGGTGGGAAGAATCAGAAGAGAAAATGTCTGTGGAGCTGTGACCTGAAGAGAATAAAGGAATGAAGGTCAGCTGTGATGTGGAAAGATGTCCTCACTGACTAGGTTGCTTGTATTCTGCATTTGCTCTCGGCGTCCTGTCAAGCATTTTCTTTGAGTTTTGTTGTCACTGTTGCTTTGTTTTCTTGGGCATTCTATCTGCTTCTCCTGGTGAGGCACCCTTTCCCCTGCCCCTCCTGGCTAGTCCGTGAGGCTTCATGGCTGACGTTCCTGTGTGTTGGAGTCCGTGGTCTTCTGCTGCTTATCTCATGCCTTTTCTTTATGATGTTTCAGCTCATCCACCATACACCATGTGCTTTAGAGTGAAATTCTACCCACATGAACCCCTGAAGATTAAAGAAGAGCTCACAAGGTATTTTCCGTTTGTTTGTATGTTTAACCTACACCTTTAACCAGCCGTGGCCTCTGCCATCTTACAGGCTTAGAGGCGCCTCTGGTCTAGATCATAACCTCTCAACCAAGCAGGTGCTAAACTCAGCCATTTGGCCAGAAATGCTTCTCGTACATTTAATTGTCTTGGGATTTTTTTTCCCCAAACAATTGTCACTGGGAGTGTAATTAGCTGCACAAAAAAGCAGTGGTTTTGAGGGGGAGGTACTCTGAAAACATCTGACAGTGGGATGCTAAAAATAAGTAGAAGAGGACTGTCTTTAGGATGTGGGCAAATTCATAGCTAGTGCAGCCTACTTTTGGGATCTTAGCTGTTTTGGGAGGAGAAAGATCACAGTCCAACAGAGTGGACAGTTGGTCATTCAGCTTTCTGCTTGCTAAATGATGACCCCACTGGAGCAGGTTTCCTTTCCCTTACAGACTTTTCTAAGTTTGAAGTTTCCAGTTCTCAGATCTCCTCCCTTCACATCTCCCTCTGCTGGGGTTACATTCAGTTCACCTTCTGGAGGTTTTGCTTTTTGGCAAATGTTGCTGAGCAGGCCTCTCCCCAGGGAGGCCAACTTCATGGTGGATGGAGGAGAGAGAGAACTGTTGTGCACTTCATTTTTGATGGGGCTCTGATTTGGTGACCCCCCAAATCACTGTGTATAATCATCTCTCAAAAATAATCGGCTTCTGTGCAGATGCAATAGAAAAGCAAATGCAAATTGCTCTGATCATTGGCAGGGGGAAAGATAGGGTTTTTAGGTATTTTGCTTTCTTGTTACCCAGAGTCTCTGTTAAAGCTTGACCCCAGTGGCACTGAGGTGACTTTGGAAGAGAGCAGATGGTTCTGTTCTCTATGATTAATTTGCTGACAGCCATTTAGAGAGGTTTGTGCTGGGGGTAGAGGAGTAGGGAGAGAGGCCATGTATGTGTGTGGAAAGGAGGAATAATAGGTCATTATTTTACAATCTGTCTCTTTTTTTCTTTTTATTTAGGTAGGTAAAATTCACATAACAAATTAATTCCATGATCAAATAGCATACAGCTCAGTGGCCTTGAGTACACTCACAACAACCATCAACACTCTCCAGTTCTAGAACATTTTTTATCATCCCCCCAAAAGAAACCATATACCCCAAACCAGTCACTTCTTATAGTCCCCTTTCTCAGCCCCATGTCTATTTTCTGTCTTAATGAGTTTTGTCTATTCTGGATGTTTTATATCAGTGAATTCATAGAATATGTGTCTTTAACCTGATTTTGGTTTGAAAATTTATTTGATAATTTCTTCCTCAGTTCTGGCTATCTAGCCAGGGCCAGAAGCTGGGTGAGTTATCAAAAACAAACAAACAAAATCAACAATAATAACAGACAAAAGAAGATATTTGTTCTGCACTGAGGGTGTTAATGTTGTAGTTAGGAAGATGAGATTAAAAAAAAAAACACTGCTTTACTTTTGTCATTTGTTTTCTCCACAATCTTGTCTGGAGGGTAAAAATCGAATGTGTCACAGTATAAATTAAGGATGGATCTTATGTTGTTGATGAGAAAGGTACTATTTGAGAGCAAAAGAATACAAAGGTTTTGTTAATAACCCTACTTAAGCCCCTGTCAGTTGAACTTGCTAACATTTTCCGGACTTTGACTAAATAACTCAGGCACAAGCAGTGGAATATTGTGAATATTTCAACATTTCCAAAGGAAGTTAAGAAGTCCTCTGCCTCTGCATAGATAGATTTTTTTCCTATATGTCAAATGTGTCACACTATTATGTGTAATTAAAATGTACCAATTAAGACTTAATTGAAAAGGAAAAAAATTAAATGTGGCCTACTTTTAAATAAATCTGACAAAATAGAAAAAAAATACTTTTTTTCTTAGCATGGTCCTTAGCATTCCAGACTAATTTACAAATTGTGCCCAAGTACTTATAGTTTAAACCCGTGTCTTGAAAGCATTTAGCTTTTTCTAGTATGGTAAGTTATTATTTTGTTGTAAGATTTGACCTAAAATTTGAAGAGGATTTAATATATGAGCAGTTGAAGTCCCATTCATGACCATGCTTATGAATAAAGAAATGTTAAGGAACAGGTTTAAAAGGGCAAAGCAACAAAAATACCCATGAAAAAGGATATTTCATCCTCTCCTCATCTCTCCACCATTTGAGCAATCATCTTACAATCATTTAGATTTCTGAGCTTTTATAAATGCCATATGCAATCAAATGTAGCCAAAAGTATGTTGGTTTAAAACATATTTTTTAGTGAGAACCATCTTTAAATTCATGGAAGCAATATCATTTATGGCAGCACAATAATTCATGCCCCTGATCCTCTTGTGTTTTGGTTGCTTAATCCTTTCATGCAGGAATGATACTAAGGAAGATGGATTATTTTTTGATGGTGGTTGTATTAAAAAATGAACATTCTGAATCTGAAGCCATCAAAAGCCCCCATGGATTATGTTGAGTCTGCAATAAATCCTTGATTATCTCCAGAGATCACTGATATGAGCAAAGACCCAAGATGTGATGCTGTGAAAGCTGATTTTCTTTTATTATGAAGCTTTCATCAAACCTGATTTCTGAGTTACAGGATTAGAACCCAAACCTCTCATTCATTAGTAAATAGTTGTTTAAAATTTTTCCACTACTGAACTCATCAAAAAGTAGAAACTAATGCGTTTGTGTTCAAAACACACATTCAACAATTAGAAAAGAAACCTCATGATAGTTGGCCTGGAAGTTTACAGTCTTTAGAGAAGGAAAGATTTGATCATTTCAAGTACTTAGATCCTGACTTTGGTATTCTGGACAAATCAGGGCCATGGTCTTAGAAGTGAGGTCCCTGGACCAGCTCAATACTGAGCACAGTGCATAACATAAAGCAGGGTGAGATAAAGAGCCATCCATTAATATTATCTGGGAACTTATTATAAATACAGATTATTGGTCCCTGCCCCCGACATACTGAATCTGAAACTCTGGGAGGGGACAGCAATCTATATTTTCACACGGCCTCCAGGTAATTCTGATCATGTCAAAGTTTAAGAACTATTACTCTAAGATAATTTGTATTTTCAAAAGCACTAGTTTCTTTTGGCAGACATTAAACTGTATAATCCAGTGGGGTATAGTATGGTCACAAGGTTGTGCTACCACCATCATGATGTATTTCCAGAATATTTTTATCTCCCTAGTAGGAAGCTTGGTACCCCTCCTCTCAGTCCTTGGAAACCACTAATCTTGTTTTCTGTCTGTATAGATCTGTCCTTGTTGGACATTTTGTGTAAATGGAATTATACATTATGTGACCCTTTATGTCTGGATTCTTTCACTTGACATAACATTTTCAAGATTTATCCTTGTTGTAGCATCTAACAGTACTTTATTCATTTTTATGGTTGAATAATATGCCGTTGTATAAATAGACCACATTTATTTTATCTACTAATCAGTTGGTGGATATTTAAGTTGTTTTCACTTTTTAGCTATAATGAATAATGCTCCCATGAATATTCACATATGAGTTTTGGTGAGGGCCAGATTCTGATTTAATTGGGTTTGAGGTAGAATTCAAGGACTCAACTCATGGCATTGGCGTTTTTCAGAACTCTCCCTGAAAGATTCTAATGTGTAGTCATGGTTAAGAGGTTGCAAACTAGTGCATCCTAGCCGGTTTTTGTTTGGCACTATAGTGCTTTTTAAAAAAATTTTATCTTATAGTCTAATTTTTATTTTTTCTTATATATATTTTTAATTTATATATGACAGCAGAATGTATTACAATTCTTATCACATATATAGCACACAATTTTTCATATCTCTGGTTGTATACAAAGTATATTCACACCAATTTGTGTCTTCATACATGTACTTTGGATAGTAATGATCATCACATTCAACCATCATTAATTACCCCATGCCCCTTCCCTCCCCTCCCACCCTTCTGCCTTATCTAGAGTTTGTCTATTCCTCCCAGGCTCCCGCTCCCTATCCTATTATGAATCAGCCTCCTTATATCAAAGAAAACATTCTGCATTTGTTTTTTGGGGATTGGCTGACTTCACTTAACATTATCTTCTCTAACTACATACATTTACCTGCAAATGCCATGATTTTATTCTCTTTTATTGCTGAGTAATATTCCATTGTGTATGTGTATGTATATATATACACACATATCACATTTTTTTTATCCATTCATCTATTGAAGGGTATCTAAGCTGGTTCCACAGTTTAGCTATTGTGAATTGTGCTTCTATAAACATTGATGTGGCCATATCCCTGTAGTATGCTGCTTTTAAGTCCTTTGGGTTTTGAAAACAATTTGTTSTAACACTTAAAATTCAAAGGCTTCACTTGTGAATCTAATCTCGATGTACTTTTAAGTTTAAAAATAAACTATTTTTTTAATCAAAGGAAGACACACACACACACTAATAAGCACTTCCATGTGTATCATTTTAGAAGTTAAATAGTACTAGAAGGTTTATAATTAAAACAATCCCCCTGTCCCCACCTTCCCAATACCCAGCCTTTCCCTAAAGGTTAGCACCCTCAACTTTTCTAGATAGTGGATATGCTAGACCAGTGCTCTACCACTGAGCTACATCCCAGCCCCTTTATACCATTATTTCTTGATTTGCCAACTTTAGTCCTTGTCTCCTGACTTCCTGCCATGGTGAAAAACCACTCAGTCTTTCTCTCCTATCCCAGCTTCACTTTTCTTCCCCCATGATCTGGTTATATATAAGTTTTTGTTAAACCAGGGGTCAATGTTACTTTAAGTATATATCAATATTACTCACTGAGCCAAATAATACATTGTAAACTCTTTTCCTCTGCATGCTTTCATTTTTCTCCAAAGTTAGTAGTAGCCTCATGTAATCATTTGTTTGGTTTTTCATCTACCCATTGTTATTTTTTTTCCCAATGTTCCATCATCTCTGCTATTTCCTTATTTTGCTGAAGTAGATCTTCCAAGTTTCTTTGTGAAATTCAACACTTTATCATACATATCTATTTTCCAACCAAGGCCCAAAACCTGCACAATGCAAGGACCCAAGTTCATGGGCTTTGTCTCAAAACACAAAGGTMGCCAACTGCTTTTTCATAATGAGGAGAGACCAAAGCTCTGGGGAGCCTCACATCCTTGTCCCAAGCTCAATTTTCTGAGAAACTGGGCACATACTTTCCATAGGGCTGGAGCCAAGAGGTGGCTGCCCTCATTGTAGGGAGCCCCACCTTCTGCTTTTCTTTTCTTGGCCACCTTGCACCAGCCCATTTCCCTGGCCACAGGTTTGCCTGGCCTCTGCAGGCATCTACATCCCTGGAGAGGAGGACAGGATACAGATGACAACTCTAATCATGAATCTGCTGGCTTTCTGGCCTTGTGACTAAGCCTTTTTTTTTTAATTCATTAATGTTTCTGTCTACCAATGAGAAATAACATGCTAGTCTTTTTACTAACTGAATCTGTTTCCTGATTCTTCATTTCAAATGGAACTTGGGTGCCCAATATCTGAGGTATGGTGATGATGATGGTGGCCATGGTTGTCACTGTATGGGAGCAGTGGCTGCTGGGCCCTGTGGCWTCTTCTCATGCCTTTTGGAAAAGGCTGAGCCCATATAGCTTTGAAATCTGATAAGATCTGTTTAGCTACAGATTCTCTGGATTTTCTAAAGGTTTTTCTCTGCTTGGAATGTCTAGACGGCCGCCTGGGGCTGGGTGGGGCTCTGGTGACCSGGTAGGCAGAGCATGAACAATCCTCCTACTTCTTCCAGGCTTTAGCCAAAACTTAGAGCGACTGTTTCTGCTTTTGTGTTGCAGGTACCTTTTGTATCTGCAAATTAAAAGGGATATTTTTCACGGTCGACTGCTGTGCTCCTTTTCTGATGCTGCCTACCTGGGTGCCTGTATCGTTCAAGGTGAGTCTGGCCCCATTGTGCTCTCTCCCATCATTACCTGAAACTGCAGAGCTTTATCCCATGCCTCCCCTCTCCCCAAACTGTGCCCATCTTGTTATGTCTGTGGTTGGAGGTGTGGTGGGACTGCAAATGTAGCACAGTGTCCCTTGCTCAACTTCTGTCCGAAGCCAGTAGAATCTTGGTGGAAGGCTGGTCTGAGATGTTCACAGCAACCTCTGCAAAGATAAAGTGTCCTACAAAGTCCCTAAATAGGGTGCAGAGTGTCTTTTTCAAAGTTGCTTAACTGTGTAGTTATTTAAGAAATTCTCTAGAGGTATGAATATTCTGTGTTTTGAATTCTAACTACCAAACATGAGGTCTAAGGGCATTTTGAGAGGGGGAAACCGTGTCTAGGAAGGTAAGTTTCAAATAAGGAAGTCATCCCCAAAGGATGGATATATATATATATATATATATATATATATATATATATATTTGCTCATCATATATGTATATATATTTCCATGTGTGTGTTTGTATATATGTGTGTAAGTATATGTTCATGTGTGTATATGTCCACATATGTTTTCATGTGTACCTGACTGTGTGTACATAAATATTCCTATGCGTGCTTGTATGTATTGTGTACCTGCATATTTTCTTGTGCATATTGTGTATATGTACATTTTAACATGTGTATATGTGTTCATGTATATTTCATGTATGTATATGTATGCTCGTGTCTATTTCATGTGATGTATCATGTACATGTATATTTTCCAATGTATATGCATGTGCATGTATATTGTGTCTAATTCCTCAGTTTTTCTAGCCATGTAACAAAGTGAAGGGAAAACTAATTTCACTATCTCTTATACCTCAGTTTGAACCTTTTTTCCCATTTCCTGGTTATTTCACCATAGACAAATTGCTTAAGTGCTTCATGCTCCAGTGTCTTCATCTATTAAATGTATGGTCAACCTTCTTCCCTGGCTGTGTGATTTCATGAGACCATTCTGCACCAGGTGGGGGGAAGTGCAGGAACCTCAGTGGTGGCTGCTGTTCTTTTTAGGGTTAAACCAGCTGCAGGGAGAGAGATCAGTGGGAAATAGTGAATGCAGAGACCTGGGTTGGCTTCTAGATGCTTCTACCTTGTAAGGACAGTGTTTGAGAGAAGGCCCTCTAGTTCCTGAGGCAGCACATTGCTGGGGATGTGCCCAGCACTCGAATGAAGTATGGGTTAGGTGTGCTGTTCCCTGGGGTTTGTTGGAAGGTAGCTGGCCACAGGGGCTATTTGGAGAGACCCTGATGATCCAGCCATTTGTAGAAGAATGCTTTTGGCATGTCTATGAGGGGGGAAGGAAGGGAGGGAAACATAGAAGGGGGGTAGAGAGAGAGAGATTAGTGCCTGAGTGTGTGTCAGTTTATGATGGATCTAGAAAGAATAACACAGGTGACAATCATCTACCTGTCACAAGGCCAGATTTCATTCAGTGCTTAAGAGAGACTCTGACCTTCTCCTGTGGCCCACCTCTGTGCTCATGGGACATCCTGTCCTGTGAAATTCTTCCTTTGACCCTACTCCCAGGTGTACCTGTTCTCCAAGTATTCTGAAATGAGTGTTGGGTGTTGGTCTGCAAAACCCGAAAGAACAACTTAGAGGAGAAGAAGTTTATTTTGGGCTCCTCTGAGTTCTCTCTTGTTTCAGAGGTCTCAGTCCATGTCAGCAGACGCCGTTGCTCTGGGCCTGAGGTGAGGCAGAACATAATGGTGGAAGGGTGTGGCAGAGGAAAGCTGTCAGCTCATGGCAGCCAGGGCGGTGACGGGGCAGAGAGAAGTCAGGGACAAGATACAAGGTGTAGTCCTCGAGCACATGCCTCCAGAAACCTTCTTTCAGCCACGCCATGCCTGCTTATAGCTACCATTCACTAGTACATTCCTTATTAATCCACTAATAAGTTACAGCCTCCATGATCTAATCACTGCTTAAAAGCTCCATCTCTGAACCTCACTGTATTGGGGGTTATGCTTTCCAAACATATACTTTGAGGAGTGTGCTGTGTGTTGCTTTTTCCCTTCCCTTGGAGCATCCTAGTGCAGTGTAACAAACGTTGGAAGAAGTGTTAAATCCCTTGGATATTTTCCGGTTTAAAGTGTTCAGAACTAGAGTGATTCTGTGATGGGAAGTACTCCCATGGGCTGTGAGGTGGAGAATGTGCTTGAGAAAGCCATTTCTTTTACCCCAGAGTGAAGGTCTGTTAAAACCTCACATTTGTATTCCTTCGTGGTGAAGATGGTGCACTTCTGGTTCAGGTGCACTGTCTCAGGAAAGGAAAAGGGAATTGATACTAATCCAAGCAATAGACTAGCATCGGAGGATTTCAGAATGTATTTAGGCATTAGTGAATTACTGTCAATTCTCCAAGGGCATGCTCAATGTAGATCTATAATGGAAAGCTCTCCATCCTGTTTATATTTCAAATGAAGCCACAAAATTCCATCCAGGTGAGCACGGCCCTATTTCATCCTTTATTGCTATTATTATTGACCACACACACAGATGTGGCTAAGAAAGTAGAGTTGGAAATGGACTGAAAGACCTTGAAAGAACCTTTTGTCTCTAAAATGCAGTACAACCCCTGGGTCATTTGTAGGAAGTTCAGTAAAAGCTGAATTCTTAGAGTTCTCTGGGCTTAGACTGAATATTTAAGTAGCTCTGGAGGTCACTAACAAATGCAGATAAAGATGGGCTTTCTCAGAACCACTTATTCATGCAGAGTAATAAGGAAGGTAAAGTCACTGACTAGAAAGTGGGAGGTTATGTGATATTCTAAAGCCTGTTTAAGGAGTGTGTGCTAAGCTTCAGTGTATTCTGGGTGTATAGAAAACAGTCAGTTTTCTAGAGTTTTGTTACCTGTAGTTTTGTTACATGAATCTAAGGAACATAGTCAATGCATGCAAAATGGATGTCTTTTCATAATGCAATTTTCAAAACAAACATACGTAATCCTTAGAATCTATTTTTTTTCTTTCTTGGGAACATTTTTTTTTGTTTTCCTATTCATTCTACAAAAGAGCACCACGTAAATATTGATCTTATCTCTTCTTCTTGCTGTGTGAGTCCCAGTGGATGTTTTGGCTCCTGCTAGTTACTCAGGACTCAGTGCAGCTACTCCTTCCTCTAAGCCTTCTTTGGTCCACTTAACATAAAGCAGCCTCCCTTCTGTCCATGGTTTTTCCCCATACCCCTGTTTGGTTGTCTTGTAAGCACACATACCTGAAGTTTTCTTGCTGAGTTGTTTTGGGGCTTATTGTGTTTCTTCCTATGTTAGTCAGTTTTCTAATACTATTAAAGAATGCTTGAGGTAATCAGCTTATAAAGAGAAGAGGTTTACCTTGGCTCACAGTTTTAGAGGTTACAATCCAAGGTCATTTGGCCTCATTGCTTTGGGCTTGTCACAGCACATCATGGTGGAAGCATGTGGCTGAGGAAACCCAGGAGCAAACCCAGGAGCAAAAGAAAGTGATAGAAACTGATGTCCTACAGTCCCCTTTGAGAATACACCCCAGTGATCTAAAGAATTCTTACTAGGTCTCATCTCTTAACATTTCCATTATCTCCCAGTACCACCAAGCGGATGATCATGCACTTAACCTGTGGGCCTGTTGGGGCAGGGGGCATTCTAGATTCTCTATGTAGAATCTAATTCCATAGGAGCAAGACTTGGGATGCCTCTTTATTGCAGCTTTCCTGTGTCTTGCACACTGGAGATTCTCCATGAAATCTGTCGAATGAGCCAGGATACTTTGCTCAATTGCTCTGACATGTGCTTTCCCTCTACACTTGGGAAAGATTGAGCAACTGCCTGTTGGGAAGGTATTTACTACCTCATTCATGTGTCCTCCAAACAATTATTGAGTAGCTGCTGGGTGTCAGGCACTGCAGTACAGAGTACTTATAGGAGGGCAGGCAAGTAAGCAGACCATTGTGCCGATGTTTTGATGACTACATGGAGGGACACATGGGTTGGTTCCTGCTATAGTGCCCTCAGGAGGGTTCTGGCTCAGCAAGGGGGTCAGGGAAGATTCCAGAAGGAGCTGACTCTGAAACTTTATTGTCCTGTAACTGGAGTTCTTTTGGAATGAGTCTTCTCCCAACTGGGGAAAATGCCATTGCACATTATCCTTACCATCACCAGATCTTACTCATCCTTTTTTTTAAAAAAWTTTTTATGTGGTGTTGAGGACCGAACTCAGCGCCTCGCATGTGCTAGACGAGTGCTGTACCGCTGAGCCTCAACCCCAGCCCTCTTACACATCCTTTTCCTTCAGATTCTTTGGATTCTTCTGGCAGTTAAATTTGCAAAGTGCTAAGGCCTGTTTTAAACCTCTGGCCATCCAGTGTGCTGTGTCTTCTGATACAACTTCACCCCTAATGTCGTGTGGAGAAGAGAGAACTACAAATGGCTCCCTCTTCTTGATATGAGTAGTGAGAAGTCCTTATTCACTAAAAGACTGTGCTCACGTTCAGCTGAAGTCGAACTTAAAGACAAGCTTTAGGGGAGGAGGGAACAGTATCTGATAGGGAGGCAACCCTATACTCTCCATGGCATTTCTTCTCTAAGTTTTATGGCATTTTCCAGGCTACTTATTTACAGAATGTAGTTCTACAAGTCTATTGTATCTCACAAATTTTCCTGGAAATAGAAATGCACCCCATCAACAAGGCCCCTTCTCACCAAGCACTCTGCAAGCATTGAAAACAACTTAGTTTCACATTGGGTCCATTACCTCATTACCTATGGGAAATGGGAGCATTTGGTGTACCATTTCCTAAATTTTTAGGTCCACAGCCAACTCCACAGCTTAGGTGTACTTCTTTTGGAACTTACGTTGAGTTAATCATGAGTTCTTGGTCCACTCTCATCATTAGTCCCTTTGTGTTATTTATTGATTGATCCACTTACCTTTTTTTCCATTATTCTCCATTTCCTTTTCTAAAGGTGACAACTGGGTTCACATATGTCTTTGCCTATAATTTGTAAAGTGATTAATATTGCTTTGTGTGTCTATACTTTTAAATTTCATTAGTTAAATGGGGCTCTAGAACTCATTTGATTTCTTTCCTTTATGATTAGAATACTATTTTGGAGATCTCTCTGTGTTGCTAGTTACATGTCTTGTTGCTTCTAACCACCAGTGTGTCCTGTAGGGTGCATCTTCTGTGTTTTACTTATCAGTCCCACAAACAATGAACACCCAAGTTGCTTCCCACTTATGATGATCATGATTGATGTTGTGATAAAAACCCTTGAATATATCCTTTCTTGCACCCAGAGCTGTTCTAGGATATATGCCCAGAAGAGGGATTTCTGAGTCATAATATTTGGCTAAATACTCCCACCTTGCTCTCTAGAAGAATTGCATGTATTGAGAAGCCCCAGAAGTGCATAAATGTTTCTGTTTTCTCATGTTTCTGCCAACTTCCTAATTTCTTGGCAATGGTATTTGTGTGACATCTTGTTTTGGTTTGCATATTACTCTTATTACTAATGAATTTGGGCATTTCTCCATATACTAGCCCTTTRCATGTCCCTGTCTGTGAATTGCCTGTTCATATCCTTTGACCGTTTCTCTGTTGGTCTTCCAGTCTATTTTCTCATTGATTTGCCCAGATTTTTTCTGTCTTCTAGAAACTAGCCCTTGTCAACTTCAGATTTTGCAAACATATTCTTTCAAAATCACACCTCCTGTATTGTCAGTATGATRTCTTTTAGTGAACAGAAATAATTCAATTTTGATTTGATCAAATTGATCAATTCCACCCCTCTCATGATCAATAGTATTTTGGATCTTATTTTTAAAATTCTTCCTCAGTATGTATATATGCATCCTAGATTGTTTTAAGAACTGTACAAGTTGAATTATATTAAAAAGCTTTTAAAGAGCTTTGTTTTCCTCTGGTTTTGTCCTTTTACTATCATTAGCTGATTTGACATTGATAGAACAGTAGATAGATATTATGGAGTTGGTGTGATTTTTCAAATGTGCTGAAAGCATACAGATTTTTTTTTCCATTTCAAAGTCCTGCTGGGATCACGTTGACAAATACACTATCTTTAGTTTATTCTCCTGGACTATATTCTTTATTTCTGTCTGAGTTGCTTATTCATTTTACTTAGCAAGCTTGTGGAATCAGTAGAAAGTATTCCTACAGCCAGACATAGCCTTGGTTTCTCTGGGCCATAGGCTATGCACCCACTTCTATTAGATTCTCAGGACGCTTGGAGATGGGCAGGCATTTCTTTTTCCTCTTAAAGATTCTCCAGAGGTGCCTTGCATTAGAATGCTGCAACAGCTTTAATCCCAAATGTTCTTTCAGTACTCAGGTGGATACTCTTGTTTGAAGAGCAATCCATTTGTGTTTAAATGCACTCTCCTTGGATTTCTTCATGTTGTGTTTCTTTTTTCTTTTTTTTTTCACTGAATGAGTCACACTGCATAGACCTCAGAGCTGGCAGCTCTAGCCAGGGAATTCTTGATCTTGGAGACTATTAACTGTGAAGAGAATCTTGAGGAAGTTTCCCAGGATAGCTACTTCCTAGATATATCAGAGAGGCATTTAGTTTAAAAAAATTAAATTTTTAATGGACAAAATTTTGCATATTTACAGTGTACAAAATTTTGTTTTGAAATATGCATATATTATAGGATAGTTAAATTGAGCTACTATATGCATTATCTCACATACTTATAATTTTTGTGGTGAGGATAAGAACACTTAAAGTCTGCTCTTTTAGAGGTTTTCAAATATACTAAACATTGTTATTAACTGCTGTATAACCTTGTTGTAGAGTAGACTTCTTGAACGTATTCCTCCTAACTTCAGTCTTGTACCCTCTTGCGCTACCTTCTGGGGAGTGGTGTTCTTGATGGTCACAGTGAGTGTGTTACCAACATTCAGTGTCTGAAGGGTTGAGTTGTCAAATGTCCTACAATTCCTTGGGAAATCTGGAACAATAAAACTCTTCAGTCCTCCAAATGCCAGCAGTGCCCCCATCAAGAAATAATCCTTTAAATTGCTTCAGTATACTGATAAAGAAAACAAGACCCAGAACAGGGTGATAAGTGCCAAAGCTCATGGAGCTAGACTAAAACCTGAACACAAGTCTCTAGATACCCAGGCTGTGGGCTTTCCATGTGTACAAATAAGGTTTGCATGAGTTTATTCCAGGATCTTCTTTTGGATGATGGGACATTCCACATGCACCTCGACCATGCTGGGTTTTGTTTTGTTGTATTTTTTTTTGTGTCAATGGACCTTTATTTTATTTATTTATATACAGTGCTAAAAATTGAACCCAGTGCCTCACACATGCTAGGCAAGTGCTCTGAGCTATAACCACTGAGCGACAACCCCATCCCCCATACTATTGTTTTTAATCTTTCTCTTTTTCTTCACTTTTTACTGGTTACAGCTGAGCTTGGTGATTATGATCCTGATGAGCATCCTGAGAATTACATCAGTGAGTTTGAGATCTTCCCCAAGCAGTCACAGAAGCTCGAAAGAAAAATCATGGAAATTCATAAAAACGAACTCAGGTAATGTGGGTAAACATTTATGAAAGAGAGATGAGAAGTTATTCTTACTGCAGGAACTGTGGAAATCATGTGAAGCAAGAATATTTGTAACACATAGGTAGACTATTTCAGGTGGCAAAGCAATTTATCTAAGCATTGTCAAGGACACCCGGATATCCTCTGTCAATAACAATCTCAATAGTGTGGGGAATGGTCTAGGAATGGTCAGCAGTTACAGAGCTACACGTTTTCTCCTACTTAAGGGTTTCTAACCACCCTTAAATAAATCATCCTTGCCAATTTTGAATTTGGCATTGCTTCTTTTCCTCTTGTGGATGGAAGCATTGACTTCAAGTAGAGCAGAATCCATTGGCAAAGTTCTGTTTTTCATGCTGCTCCCAAGATGATAGGATTCAGTGCCTGCTCCTCCTTTCCTTGTCTGAGATGTTTCAGGATGGTAAGTACAGAGTCATCGTGGAAAGAGTACCAAATTGCATAGTATTCACCATGTACCAAGCAGTGTTCTAGGCATCATGTATATATTGACTTCATTTAATCTTCACAGTAACCTAGGAGATAGGTTCTATGGTTGTTCCCATATTATAGACGAGGGAACTGAGGCACAGAGATTGAGTGATTGAGCATCTTACACATGACTAGTGTCAGAGCTGGGATTTAAATTCAGGCATCCTGGGTGCAGAGTCTGTGCTCTTAAGGCTATGTGGAATAAAATGAAGCATGCTTAGGAATCATCACCCAGTTGGAATTCAGATAATTCAGATATTCTAGTCTGCATTAGGGTTTAGATCCTGTGCAAATCATAGAAGAAATCCTTTTGATAATAATAGTAAGCATAGGCAATGTTATGACAAATATTGATGAAGAATTGCAAGATCTGAGGTGCTTTCATCATCTGGGCTTCTGGTAATTATGAAGAAAATAGTGTCACTGGTTGATGAATTCTGGAACAAAAGTGTCCCATTATGAATGAGTGCTAGAGCTTCCTATTTTATGCAGACACTCCCCCTTCTGGTGAAGTGTGGGCATTCAAAGTGGCTGCAATATTTTAGCTTGGAAAGGGTAGCCTTCATTCCTAGAAGTAAAAATAATTAGACATCAAAACATACTTGTTTTAGAAAGTAGCCTACCATTTCCATGGGTTAGAGTATTGCTTCCTAATGAAAAGTTTTGTGAGAAAATATATGAAATCCTCACTCTTCTTTTTACATTTTAGAGACTAGGGTGCTAGAGATAACAATAAAGTTTCAATATTTTGGGTGAGGGGTCTATGTCATAGGAGCATCCTTCCTAGAGACCATAGAGTAAGGGCTCTTGGATGAAGAAATTGCATCCATTGTGTGGATTGGTAGGAAAGGACTTCTATAACCAGAATTTTCAGGGTCTTAAATGTTTAGAACACATTATAATAAATATTACTTGGGTACTTACTGGATGCCAGAACACCATGCAAAGAGCTTTATATGCCTTATTCCATTAGGACTCCCAAACACTATGAGGTGGGCACCATTAGTGTTCTCAGTGAGGGATGAGGAAAGTATAGCCTGGAGTGGTCGAAGGACTTCCCTTGATGGTTATTAGCAGACTCAGGACTTGCATCTTGACACCAACATCCACACTTTTACCCGTTTGCTGATCAGTCCTGAGAGGCAGGTAGCTGGGCAGATGTTTCATGGTGTCACCATAGCAATGGCCTTCGAGGATAGACACCAGGTGGGAGAGGAGGAGGGGTAAGTGATTTCTACCATTCAGAGAGCCAAGGACCCGAAAAAGAATAGAAGGAAAGAAAATTGAAAAAAAAAATCTTGAGAGACATGGCAGTAAGATTTGGTGACCAAACTGATTTTGTGAGCAAGTAGGTAAACCGAAAGATTCCAGATTATTTTTAACAATCAGAAAGCTGTGTATTGGACCTGTACCAGCTCCCAGATTTGTTGAGATCTCTGAAAGTGGTCATTGAGATCTAGGGACCAGTCAGTCACTGTTTGTAAATCTCAGAAGTAATTTCCATGGCTGGATCAGAACTGCAGCCCTGTGTATCAACCAGGAAGCCCCAGGAAGGGGTCAGAGTCACAACTCCAAGGGATGCAACTGCCAGGCATCATGTGACATTGCAAGGGCAACTCCAGGGCATATTTTCCTGTGTATTTTTTTTTTTTTATCTTTCCCAAGTAGACACACACACTTGGTTCTGCCTCAGTACTGCAGAGAGAGGTTTTAGGTTGTGAGGGGAGGACAAGAAGAGTAGAAGAAGGTGGTAGTGCAGAGGAAGAGGAGTATTCTGCAGTTGGATGGAAAGCCTGCTGTGGGGGTCCAAGCTGCTCTGGAGGTTGGTGGACTTAGGTGGGGAATGTGTTGATGTTGTGTGGGGAACAGGGTCTTCAGTTGGGTTACTCTGCACACTTCCACTGTGAGGAGGGGGTCACAGAAGAAGGAGACCCATGCTAGGCTGCACCTGGGCATGTATCCTAGTCTCCAAGTTGACCACTGTACATGTGACCCTCCTCACAGCAAAGGGATGATGCGCAGCCATGACCTGTTGTTACAGAGACTTCCTGAGAAGACGCCAGGTGGCTTTTGTTGGGGTAGCAGGGCCCCAATACATAACTTGGCTACTGAACCAGTTGAGAAAGAAAACAAGAGAGATAGTAATAGAGTTGCTTAAATATTAGCAGAAATGATGATGATGATTTACAAAGAGAGAAACATTTTCACCTTAGGGAAGCAGTTTCAAAATCCTTTCCCAGATATTTAATTGAGTGGAATCATTCAAATTCTATGCTCACTGAGAAGGGACAAAAGCTTCTCTACTGTGGGTGGGGTACATTCCTCAGGGAGGGAAAGGGACTTTCCCAAGGAAGCTACACACTGCTTGAAGGTGAACCCTAAATGGCCTGGCAGACAGGCAGGAATAAGAGAGTTCTTTGGGGGAAGAAGGTGAGAGGTTCTGCAGTTTTGAGGTACTGCAAAACAGAATGGAAAACTGAGATTTGAGTAATGGTTTCCTTGGATGAAGTGCTTAGACTGCTTGGATATTTAAGAGATTGGTGTGTGAAGATTAAGATTCATGCCTGGATCCACTATTCTTCCTTAAATGCCATATGGCTTATGCTTTATCTATGATTGCATCGGAAGGCAGGAGAGAGAGAATCCATGGTTTTGAAAACGTGATAGTACTTTGTAGTTGTTGGTCACCTCTGAATCTGTCAAGGTCAGCTAGATTTTGCTGAGGACAACCTCCAAAGCTCAGTGGCTTACTGTAAGAAAGACTTCCTTGCTCTGTTTTGTCCACCTGAGGTCAGCTGGGGGACTCTGCTCGTCATTGTCACTCAGGGCAGTCATCGGCTTTATTTTGMCAGCTGTTGAGCCAAGGGAAAGAGAACCTTGGAAAGTCTTGCTTAACTTGGAAGTGATGCATGTCACTTCTGCTTAAAATTCACTGGTCAGAAGCTGTCCCAAAGTTCTGCCCAATAGCAAGGAAATGCAATTCTACCCAGTGTCTAGAAGGTGAAATGAGCTAGAACAGCTGCTAAACAACCCTTAATGACCTTCACAATGTCACTGACTGATAGAGTTGTTTTTTGTTTTTTTCTCCCCCCCCCCTTTGTTTTCTTTTCTTTTTTTTTTTTTAATAGGCTTTACTCTTTGGAGAAGTTTAGGTTCACAGTAAAATTGAGGGTGATTTCCTCAACAAGGATTTCCCATCTGCCTTCTTCCCCCTGACATGTATGGCCTCCCCAGTTATTAACATTTCTCTTTGGACTGCTATATTTATTATAAATGATGTGCACATGGATACATTTTAATTACCCACAGTTTATAGTTTACATTGGAGCTCACTCTTGGTGTATATTCTATGAGTTGGAGCAAATGTATAGTAACATGTATTCACTATTAAAGTATCATACAGAATTGTTTAACTGTCATAAAAATCATTTATCACTATCACCTAATCCTTAGAAACCATGGATCATTTTGTGTCTTCGTAGTTTTGACCTTTCCAGAATATCATAGTTGGAATTATACAGCATGTAGCTTTTTCAGATTAGCTTCTTTCACTTAGTAATATGTATTTATACTTCTTCCATGTGTTTTCCAGACTCAATAGCTCATTTCTTTTTGGCATTAAATAGTAATCAATTGTCTGATGTACCACAGTTCATTTATCCATTCACCTACTGAAGGAAAACTTGGTTGCTTCCAAGTTTGAGCAATGTTACTGTGTGTGGATTTTCTTTTTTTTTTTTAAGAGAGAGAGAGAGAGAGAGAGAGTTTTTAATATTTATTTTCTCAGTTTTCGGTGGACACAACATCTTTGTTTGTATGTGGTGCTGAGGATCGAACCCGGGCCACACGCATGCCAGGCTAGCGCGCTACCGCTTGAGCCACATCCCCAGCACTCTGTGTGTGAATTTTCATGTGGACATAAATTTTCAACTTATTTGGGTAAATGCCAAAGAGCCTGATTGCTAAATTCTATAGGTTTAGCTTTTCAAGAACTGTCAAACTATTTTCCAAGGTCTCTGTACCATTTTGTATTCCCACTAGTTATGAATGTGAGTTCCTGTTGCTCTATATCCCTGCCAGTTTTGGTGCTGTTGGTGTTCTGATTTTGGCCATTGGAATCACTAAATAGCTAATAGAGCCTTATTTAAAAAGACTTCCCAGAGCCATTTTGGGCCTCTTGTGAATGAGAGGATATGGAGATGTGCCATTCACATTATTGAGCAGATGTCAATGCTAAAATGGATTGACTCTGAATAATTCTTCTAGATAAGTTGTAGTTAAATATTTTTTACTTCCTGAGCCACATGGTCTCTGTTACAGCTACTTACCTCAGCTTTTGTAGAGAAAAAGCAGACATAGATGATTTTAAACAAATGGGCCATGATTGAATAAAACTTTATTGGTAAAACAGGCAGTGGGCCAGATTTACCCCACTGTTCCTAGTTTTCTGTCTCCTGGTCTGAACATGGCAGAGTAGGTCTAGATTCAATTTCTGC